CCCTACAGCGCTGGGCTGTGTAGAAAATTTTTTTTCCTGAGAAATTTTCTCACTTTGCGAGCCACCGCGGGGACCTCAATGTCCAAGAAAAAAAATATAAAAAAGAAACAAGAGTTAAGTTGGTGTTAAATGTATAGAATAGGTTAAATGCATGTTTTTAAAATGTGCAATTAGAGGAGCAAAAAGTAAAAGGTATAATTGAATTTCCTAATTAAGGGTCTATTTAGCGTGGCTTCTCAAATATTTCAACTTTTTAATACTATCCATGTTTCATAAATTTAAATTTTTTTAAAAAAAATTTATATTTATTAATATTTTTTTAACCTTAAAAAGATCCTAAACAATAAAAAATTAAAATTTTCAAATTTAAACTTTTTACAAGCTTCATTTTTACTCATTTTTTCATATTTCTAAAAGCAACTTTAAAATTTTTCTTTCAATAAAAATTTAAACTTATCATTCATGAACAATAAAAAAAAAAAACAAAAGCTCTAACAAGCTGTACAAAATAAACAATAACTCTATAGCAATAGCTTGAAGTGTCTGTTTTTTTTCTTTTCCTTTTTGTACCACATAAGTTAAATGGTGCCTCTTTTAATCATGTTGTTTTTCATTGCATGAACAGGAAATTAACACCAATGTTTGGAAAATTGAGATTCTGTGTGTAGTATGATTGAGATTTTGATTTTTGGTTTTGATTTTTAAAATTTAAATAATCAAAATTAACAATTAAAATTGTTATCTTATTAGTATAAAATTTTAAAATAAAAGTCCAAAACTCTAAACCTAATTAATTTATAAAATTACTTAACTTTATTTTAAAGTTTCTAAATTATTAAAAATTAAACTAAAAAACTCATAGCTATTATATTATAGACAATGATTAGTATACCCTTTAATTCAACACAGTACACAACATACTCTGATTCAACCATTAAAATTTGTCTTTTGAAATTTTTTTCACCATAAATTTAAATTTAAAAATAATAGTTTCTTAATAAATATAATGTATAATGTAAAACCGAAGAATGCACTAATCATTTTCTTTATACTAAACAAAGTCTAAATTAAAGATACAAGCTAATAAAGTGAGACAAAGCCCTCCCTAATCTCCTAAATCAGGATTAAGAGGCACCAAGTCTTATAAATCACTTGATAAATGTACTTAATACCTTATAATGAGTAAAATTTGAATTATATATAATTTTTTCATGTTATAATTTTTCATCCATTATCTCAAATTGTACTTGTTTGAAAAAAGGAAAAAAAGTCAGGATTAGGAGAACAATCCATCAATGCGGTCACTATCAACCACGGGGACAGCTCATCACGATCTTGCGGTGTTCTCCTTGTTGCGCTGCGCCCATGATTTTTCTTTAACCTTTTTCCTTTACAATTTTAATTAACCAATCTGTGCTGT